TNTTTGATAAGTCGAAAATATATGTTTATAATATAGTAAAATTTGGACTATGTGTTGGATATTTGTGCTTAAGTGACGTGTTTTCGACTTTATCATGTGTCTTCGAGTAGAAACTACCTTTGTTGATATTTTTGTGCAGTTAGATCGCATGGTGCACATATAACCAACATGGCAGCACTGGGTTTTGTTTAAACATGGCCATGTCAGTATGGACGGACAGTGCGTAGCTTATGATTTGGACGTAGGCCCGTAAACATTGAGCCCAATAGGATTAAAAGTCCAACCATAATTAAAGATGAGGAGATCAGATTTTTGAGACCTACACTGCACGTACAACAGCCGCAAGGAGCAACAGAAGGGATCTTCACAAACATCAACTCTCTCCTCTCTTTTCTTCACTATATTTCTTTTTCTTTTCTCTTGGATCATGGAAGCCCTGCGCGGCTAATTCTCTTTTGCTACGGTTGAATACGATTGAAACCCCGAACATAATACTGTGAGATCTAATTAGTTTTTATTTATTAATTCATATTTCGTATTAATTGTTTTGTGTGTTTATGCTTATGATTTTGTGTTAGGATCGTAGCATGATCAACTATTGTCTTGTGCACTTAATCTATTGCTTGGTAGATATTGAGTCGGATTTAGATAATTTATCTATCGTAAGAAGCATCTAAGTGTGGTGATTGACCGGATTTAGGCGTTATCATTCTTAGGCAAAATAATTATACAAGTTAGCATTTAACGGATTAGTTATTTGTTGCTTGTGTTGTCGGGCTCTACTTCTTAATGCTATTGCTAGGATAATTTTACACGATGTTGGGAATTGCTTAGTAATAAGGGTTGTGTAGAAGGATTTATTTTGCATAGCCAATTTAGGAGTCAGAATTCATCATTCAACGGCATCTACGTATTTATGAGTTGATAATATTTGCATCGAGGATCAGTAGAATAATTCGGGGTGGAAATCAGTTCAACCGGAGCACTTTGGTAATATTTTTCATTTTCATCTTGTTGCTTGCGAATCTCTTGTTCAAGAATTGTTAACTATTGCTTTCTTTATTTTCTTGTTAATTAGATAATTAGTATTAAAAACTAATTCTCCCCCATTTTAATCACATAATTAAAGTCATTTGATTAAATCATTCCCCGTGGATACGATCCTTGCTCACGCTACTACATATTGTTAAGCAAGGTTAATTTGGGTGCCTACGACAGCACGACCAGTTATGAATAAAGGTGGTTGAATTTGGTTAGGATGAAGTTTTGAGTTTGTATAAATAATATTTTAAATACAATTATTAAAGTCGGTGTGATATAAAAAACATGAGAGAAAGAGATATGATTGAAAGTGACGCGTAGGTAAAATTATGTGAGTTGTTGAATAGTTAATTAAAGTTGATATAATTTGTGAATATAATTGATTGATATTATTTAGTTATATTGATAATATTTAAGAAAGTTGGGTTGAATTGGTTTTAGTTGGATTTTGAATTAAAACAAACTAGCACAATACCCGTGTATTACGGTGTTGAATTAAAAAGTGTTTATAAAAAATATTAAATTTTTTATTTTTTAAAAACTAAAATAATTTAATTTTATATAAAACATTAATTTGAGTTTTAATTAAATTGTCAAATTATATTTTTTTAATCATAATTATTAAACACTTGTACATTAAATGAAAATGTCAACCCGTGTTGATTTTTTTTTACTTATATCATATAAAAATATCGATATTATTTACTATTACATAAGTACAATATATATCTTAAATAAATAGAAATAATATGGTGATATGTATATGCATAAGTGTAGAATATGTTTATTTAATATTAAGAAAAATAAATTAATTTTTTTACTTAATTAGATGTCTAATACATCAAGTGTCGTATCAGTCGTGCTTGACAATTTTTTAAATTTTATACGTAATTTTAGAATTTATATAAATAATTATTTATTTTCATTACATTGACAACATACCAATTAGATTTGAAATAAATATCATCTTTAAAAGAATACATACCAATTTCTATTACTTTATAATATAATTTATACTTTTATTTGATATAATTTAATTTAGTTTAATAAATAAATTTGAATTTTATTTATAAGGATATATATTACTGTTTTGTATTTTAACATATAATTTAGTTTGATATATATGTGGTATATTATAATAATTTTCTACCTTATAACATATAACTACATTAGACATAAATATATTAATTTATAAATAATTTTATTTTCTAATTCATTTTAATAAATAATTTTATTATTATTATAAAAATAAATATAATTTATTTATTTTATATATACAATATGGATGTCAAACCGAAGCTCATCAAAAGATGATTAATTTGATATATTATATATGTAAAACCGATAAAAAATTATCAACTTTTAAAATATATTTGCAATCCATTGGTTATAATAAGAAATGATATTTAAATACAATTAATACAAATATTAATTATATCCAGACCTAATTCAAAGCATGATTTTTTGTCAAATAAGATTTCGAAATATGAGAGTTTACTAGGATCAGTGTATTCTGAAATTATATATAGAGGAGAATATTTAAGCAGTCATGGACATTTTATATGTAATAATGCGCTAAGCATTAACTTTAAATGGAAGCAAGTTGTACACTTGTACTATAAATGTAATAAAGCCATGATTATGTAATTAACCAAAACATTATGATGTGTTTATTAAATTATAGAAGTTATTGTAAGTATTTTTTATCCATAGAGGCACAAAACATACATAAATCTAATAATTGTATCTTACTCTTATTTTTTTTGAACATTTACAACATTGAAACTCCAATCTTGTTGATTTACATATTTGATAATTACCTATAAACAATTAAACTTTATTCTTAATGCAATAAAGTTTAACCTTCAAATATATTTAAAGAACAGTAAGGTTGAAGCAAGTTGTACAAAAATAACACTCCATATTTAGGGTTTCACAATTCCCAAAACCCCCAATTGAGCTCCAATTTCAATTAGAAATTTAACAAATTCTGCATTCACTAACCCTAACAATGGACGGACACTCAGCACACCTGACGGCGCCAGTCCGTTCGCGGAGCTCCCAGTCGCCGTCTCCCTCCCACTCCGCGTCGGCCTCCGCATCGTCGTCGATCCACAAGCGCAAGCTCCCGCCGGAGGACCACGCGCCGCCCTTCCCTCCGGCGTTCTCCGACACTCGCGACGGCGCGCTGACTTCCAATGACGACCTGGAGAGCATCAGCGTCCGCGGCGCCGGCGACGATTCGGACTCCGACGACGAGTCCGAGGAGGAGGAGGAGGAAGAGTACGACAACTCCATGCGCAATTTCACGGCCTCTCGTCTGGAGAACAGCAGTGGTGCTGCTGGTGGTGGTCCCAACGCAAGGAACACGAAGATCAAAGCTGAGAGCTCGGTGAAGGCCGAGCCAGCTGAGGTGGCAAAAGACGGAGATGGTGGTTTGGCCACAGCGGCAAACGGTACGGTTCCGGGTATTGTGGTGAAGGAGGATTCTGTGAAGAGCATATTTACTGACAATATACAGACTAGCGGAGCTTACAGCGCTCGAGAGGAGAGTTTGAAAAGAGAAGTAAGCTGTCATACAGTCTTAAGTTAGAGCCAGCATGCTTTTTGTGCGTCTTCTGTTGGGGAACTGCTATCAATTGGTTTTTACGTGCTTCTATCTGTATTTAAGCATTAAAATGTTGAGAAGAAGTATCAATGGGAGTAATATCCACCAATGTTCTGAACCTGTCTTGAATCTTATTTGTATGTTGTATAGTCACCGAACAACTTATATTGGTCCCTAATTACCTACATTGCAGGAGGAATCAGGGGCAATCAGATTTGTATGTGCTTCGAATGATGGTATTGATAAACACATGATCTGGTAATTGTCACTTGTTTTCCTTCGAATTTGTGCTGAATCTGAGTATAGCCGGGAATTTTTCACACTAAATGCTCAAGACTTGATTAATGCTTTTAATATATGCTTTCAGGCTGATTGGGTTGAAAAACATATTTGCCAGACAACTACCCAACATGCCAAGAGAATACATTGTTCGTCTTTTAATGGACAGGTATCGCCTAGATCAAATTCTTTGTTGTATTTTACGATTGGCTTGATGTTTGTGGATGCAAAAGATGCACTAGCTTGTTCCATTGCTGGTCGTTTTATTCAGATGGTTTTGATAGTGCAATATTACATGATTGTAGACTGACATATTATTTGGTGAGTGATTCCATGTACTGTCACTCTTAAGCTTGCATTAACATTAATTATATTCTCCTTCAGGATTGTAAATTAGTAAGTTAAGTTGAGATATATGTGTACAGTTAAATGCCTATCTTAATGTCAGAGATCTAAATTATGTTATTCAGACTCCTAGTATCTTTAATTTCACTTTGACCAGTATTTCCAAGCAGTAATTATTATTGTCGTGCTTGATTACGTTTAGTTATTCTAAAGTCCAGCCTTTAAAGTTTAACCAGTTGTGCCTGCAGATAATGCTTTTATGTTGTAAATTACTTTCGTGCGATCTGCACCTTAGAGAGTATGTGTCTGTTGTTGTATAACAGAAACCACAAGTCTGTAATGGTTGTCAGAGGAAGTCAAGTTGTTGGTGGGATTACATATCGACCTTACATCAGGTACAATCTGTCTGGGCCTCATTTTCCTTTTTTTTTTCTTTTTTNATTATTATCATCTGAAGATCATCATAAAGTTTTGCGCTGGGAACTTATGCCAGCTATACAGATTGGATTTTCATATTCTTTTGTATGTGTTTGTTGAGGATATGGTGACACTTAGTCCGTTATCAAACATACATATCTAGATAATGTTGTCTCGTCCTGTATCCATGTGTAAGCTTGTGCTATTATAATGCTTTGGAATTTTGCTTTTCTGTAAGTCTAGATATATGAAAAGAAACGACAGGAGATTTAATATTTTGGTCCTGTTAGATATTTATATTGTTTATTGAATTTGATCTGTCTATGTTGTGTGTATACCCTGTTCTATCTGTAATACCGAACTTTACGTGTAGCCAAAAATTCGGGGAGATAGCTTTTTGTGCAATTACATCAGATGAACAAGTTAAAGGCTATGGTACCCGACTTATGAACCATTTAAAACAGCATGCACGAGATATAGATGGCTTGACACATTTCCTCACATATGCTGATAATAATGCCGTTGGTTACTTTGTCAAGCAGGTGAGCTCTATTAGTTATTTCACGGTATTTGTTTGCCTTATTTCTTGACTGTATTTCAACAGACTTATCATATTTATTCCAAAAATACTCTTTTATTGGCCTTCATTGTTCATGGTCTTCTAAAGTATGGGTATAAAATTTGTGTTACTGAATCTCTCTGCGATCGGGTTATTAAAGGAAACAAATTAGTTTTCTGATAGCATTTATAAGATTACGCCAATTTCTATATTATTTTCAGGGCTTCACGAAAGAAATTTACTTGGAGAAAGAAAGATGGCATGGGTATGTTTTTGTTCCTTCATATATTCTGAGTTATCACCTCTTTAAAGATCATAACCTGGAAAGTTGATGTTGTAAATGCTATGTATAATATAATGGGCAAATTCTTGTAGCATGTCATGGGTTAAGTAGATAGTTCCACTTTATTTTGTCTCTCAGATTACACTTGTGGACTGATGTGGGCAACAACAAATGCCCTTTTCTGCAAAGAATGTCTTGATGTTCGAAGCTCTTACTTTACTACATTTAACTATGGCTTAGGAGTATTAATTTTTGTGCAGCTATATTAAAGACTACGATGGGGGGATCCTTATGGAATGTAAAATTGACCCTAAGCTTCCATATACTGATTTATCAACGATGATACGCCGTCAGAGACAGGTAGGACAGGCTGGTGCTCTGTAATTTGGGACCCTCTCTGCAGAAAGTATTTTGTTATTGGTTTTATTACTAGATTTCTGTCAGGTCCAGATTGACCATCCCCAGTCACCAATTTAAATAACTGAAATTGTCTTGTGTACTTTACTTCCTTACCAGGCAATAGATGAAAAGATTAGGGAGCTATCAAATTGTCACATTGTGTACCCTGGAATTGATTTTCAGAAGGTATATGCACTTCATCAACTTACTGCCTGCTGATACTATTTAGCTCATTACTTGAGAGGTCTTTTAGCTGATATCTAAAGATAGTTTTATGTCCAAGTGTTATCCAAGCTTTTCCAAACGAAGATTTCTGATGATAATACATTTCATCTTCTTCAAATCTAATGGCATTTTGTATTACAGCATTACAGCATTTCTGATGTAGTACATTTTAGAGTTTAAATCCAACACATACTTCCATTTTTATTTTATTTTTTATAAATTGACCATTCTTCATGTGAATATAGAAATAAGATATGAAGGTAATGCCAAACTTATGTGGTGTTGGGCATAAATTGATGTCTGAATACAAGACAGATATAATTATTTCATGGTTCAAACTTGTTTGATGAAGACTGTCTGCCAAAAATAAATACGCAATGAACTTCCTAGAACTGGGAATAGGTACCCCATTTTCTGAAGTAGTTAAAAAGGACATCCTGTTAAAAATAGAACTGCTTATAGGTATATTGGGTTGATTTTTGTAATGGGATTGCTAAATCCAGCTTATTGAAGTATGTGTTACATCAAGGATAAAATTATGGACACTGATGTCAGTGTTCGTGATGTTTTCATAATGGTAATAAATGACACGTGTTTTCTTTGTGATCAGAAAGAAGCTGGTATACCCAAAAGATCAATCAAGGTTGAGGATATTCCTGGTTTGCGTGAGTCCCATCTTTCCCTAAAATTTAATTTATGTGCTGACCTTTGATTTCCTATGGATATTTATGGCTCTTACAATTGTCTGTGATGTAATATTAATAGGAGAGGCTGGCTGGACTCCTGATCAGTATGGTCACTCTCGGTTTAAAATCGTGAACTCGGCTACAGATGCTGCCTCTCATCAGAAATCATTGACCGCATTCATGCGCTCACTTATAAAAGTAAGTTGGCTACTCATTCAGATACTTTTAACCTTTTCCTCAATTTTAGGAGATTCATTAGAGTAACATTCACATTTCCAATTTTGGTTTCAAGTAGTCCCCGTAATATTTGGATCATTGCGTGCTTGGTTATAAAAATTTCCACTCAAAATGAATTTTTTTGGTTAACTAGGATTAATTTAGAAAAATGTGGTATGGTTAGTTGTTAGTGTGATTTTGAGTTTATATTATTTAAAATAAAATAATTAAAGTTGATTTGATGTAGGAGAGAGATGATGTGAAGTGATGGTGATGCAGAATAAATATTATTATTATTATTATTATTATTTAATAATTAGTAGTAGCTTAGAGAATAAGCTAGGTTTAGTTTGTGAGGTTTATTTAAAGAATTCTTCTACTGTGTGACGAGTAGTTGATTTTGAATATGAAATAAGATTAGAGATTGTGAGTCTTGCGTGTTTTACGAGAGAGTATCTCGTTTACTCATTTATTCTACCCACTCGTACGCTTCCCTACATCAGATGGTTAGTTAAAATTATGTGTAGATGAATAGTGAATTAAAGTTGATGTGATGTGTAAAAATGATTGATTGATATTATTTAATTATATTGATAATATTGAGGATAGTGGAGTTGGGTTAAAGTTGAGTTAGATTTTGAGTTGGATTGTTAATTTTTACATCCAATACTTTGAAACTGAATTTTCTCTGACCTTTGAATTCCTCCATTATGCTGTATGCGTATAGAAAAACTTTGATTTATTATCCATTCCTGGGTTTTTCTGGATGTTTCGAATTTGTGGAGCATCATTAACAATCTTCCCTTTTGAGCAGGCAATGTGTGATCATCCCGATGCATGGCCATTCAGAGAACCCGTCGATGGGCATGAAGTGCCTGATTACTATGATATCATCAAAGATCCAATGGGTATATCATTTCTCCATGAGCATTTTTCCTTTGTTTCTTGAAATTATTTAATCTCAAAACGCAATTTGTAAAACTCAAAAGAAACAATGATTTATGTTTCAGTGTTTGGCTCAATCAGCATGTTTTCAAATTCAAATGATTTATACTTCACTGTTTGTCCCTCAGATTTAAAAACAATGTCGAGGCGAGTAGAATCTGAGCAATACTATGTGACTTTTGAGATGTTTGTGGCTGATGTCCGGAGAATGTTCTCGAATGCACGCACCTACAATTCTCCCGATACAATCTACTACAAATGTGCAACCAGGTAGATTTGCAATGATTATTTGCGTTTTCCATTTTTTTTTTTTTTAATTTTTTTGGAGGATATAAATGCACGAACTTTTTTTGCTCTGTAGGTTGGAAGGACATTTCTCAAATAAAGTTCAAGCTGGTCTTCAATCTGGCATCAAGATTCAACCTTAGTTCTTGCTTCTGCACAATGTATTCATGCCTTGCTTTGAGAGTTGTATTTTTGGAGCTATGTATGCTTAGAGTGCGAAAATTCCGAGTCTGAGTCTATAAACGTGGTGTATAATTGGTATTTGATAAAGTGATGCAAATATGATAACTTAATAAAGCTATAACAAACCAATATCCGGCACATGACTAACTGGAGTTTTTTTTTTTCTTTTGGCATGAATTTATTTCAGAATCTTTCTTGTATATTTTTGGAATAGATTAGACTAATTAGTGACTGGGAGTTATGAATAAAACAATACTTGTTTATTCTCATAACAACACTGATGTTTACTGCTGAATTATGGGAAGATGATTGGTGTTTTGAGAAAATAATGAAAACTGTAGTAACTGCAATCTAATAGAAGAAAAGGTCATATAAATTTTTTTTTTATTTTTTTTTTTGTTTTAAATAAGCAATAAGCAAAACCCAAGTTAATGTTTGACATGTCCAAAACTGAGATCAGAGGGTCAAAATGGTAACAAGTATTCTGAAGAAAAATAGAAACACCATACACGACGAGAGAAAAGTAAAAACTATTGAAATCAACAGTTTGCTTTTTCAAGAGGCAAATTGATCCAGATAAAAACAACTAGAACAAACCCAATCATCATAAAAGTGCCGATTTTAAGCTTTTTGTGAACTTTTCGAGTTCTTTTAACCCTTCTTCTGGTGATTTTGCCTCGCCCAATATTTTTACCATGGCGCTACCAACAATGACACCATCCGCTCCCCATCCAGCTACCTAAAAAGAGTGATTTTAACAGTTTAACACATATATATGTCCTTTACTCATGTAAGATTATATATCACACATTAATCAGCTAAAATTGGTAGTTAATCCTAGTAACTGAGGCCATTTTTCACGAACCAACCTGTTTAACATGCTCGGGTTTCGATATGCCAAAACCAACTGCCACTGGCTTGCTCGTTGCCTGGAAAAATAATAAAAAAAACAATGTTGAAAAGCTGAAAAAATGAGGTAAAAAATATGAAAAAGTGAGTGATGATAATAAATAAAAGTTTTACCTCTTTAATATCCTGTAGAAGAGATTGAACTTTTTCACTGACCGATGCTCTTGCTCCTGTGACTCCCACTGAGCTGACCTGAAGGAGCAAAAATATTACCGCACAATATAATTAAAAAAAAAAAAAAAAACTCGTTTGAGAAATGAAAGAGACGTGGAAATATCGTCTAACATCTATATAATAGCTTGGTTTATATGTATGCTGAACTTGTTAGTGGATCCTATTACAATATAATCAACAGGATTAATGTAATTATACATTGTACTTATTTATTGTCACAAATGAAATCACTGGTTTGAAGATTGATCAAAGGCATCAAACTCTATCAGGCGTAAAATAACATCACGAATACACAAGATGATAATTAAAAGTACTTGCATATGCTATTATATCAGGTAAAATGGAATGTATAGATCCAACTTCTACAGAGACATTCTTGTTTTGAGAAGGGGAAAAAGGAAAACAAGTCTCACAAGGTACACAAATCCTTCTGAAGCTTCTACAATGGCTTCCATACGCTTTTTCGGAGTAGTTGGGGTTGTAAGCAGCACCTGAAATAAATTGCAGACTACAATAAATCAAGCCATAAACAAAAGAAATTTGTACCAATAAAAAATCCCTTAGATACACTTTAAAAAAAAAAAAAAGATTTAATTTGACTGAGAGTACGGAGAAGGCAGTAGAGCTGGATTTGTTTCAACAATTTTGCAACATATTGTAGAAAAGTATGCAACAATCAAACCCACAACTCGTCTGAAGGAAATTGTTAAAATCACCTTTCACATTATATTCTGTTATTTGGGAGGCTAAAATGCAGTCAAGCAAACAATAATTTAACCTTACCCAAATTTTAATTAAAGGATACTGCAGGAAATAAAAGATAAATAAATAAATAAATACAAACTAAAAAGAACAGATGTTGACCCTCAATCATTCAGAAAAAAACATTGACGTTACGTACTTGGAAGTTGCAAGAATGTATCAGACAGATATTTCAAAATTTTTAAGTAATAAAAATCGAGAAAAACGAACAAATAGTTAAATGTGGAAGCTAACCAGTTCGATATTATTATTACTAGCTTCCTTTCTCAATATCTCAGTCTCTTCAAGAGGGACATCTGGAACAACAAGTCCTGAAAAGAAAGATTAAGTTGTGAGAAACTTAGGTGAGAACCTAACTACCAAAAAGGCAAAATGCATATCAAACAGATTGAGACATAAAAGAGGCAAAAAGAACCTAGTCAGGGATAAGTAAAGAAAACTGTTTTCAAGAGTTTTGCAGTTACTAAAGATATCAGCACCAAACAGGAGTCAATTTGTAACTAAAGGAAACACTAAGAGGGTATTGGTAATTTGTTTTAAAAAGCAGGATCCATTTGTAATTAGACTAAACCTGACAGTTACCATGAATTCCAGTATCCTTCAAAGTGATCATAAATTTCTCCACACCGCGCTTGAGTATCGGATTGTAATATGAGAATAGTGCAATTGGACTGGATAACTGAGGAATTACCTGTGAAAACACAAAATGATTGACGCTATAGTAATTATAAGTTATAACCTACGGATTATGCCCAAAATTTGACTATGGACTTACTTCCTTCAACATGACAATGATTTTATCGAAATTGGTTCCTCTACCTAGTGACCGTGTGGCAGCAGCCTGCAGTAACAACACAAGAAAGTGAATAAGTTATAAAACAAACGATCCATTCCTTTTAGAAGTACTGTGAAAAAATTGAATTAACAAAACTTTTATATTTTTCGAACCTGGATAACAGGACCATCAGCCAAAGGATCCGAATAAGGCACTCCTAATTCTATAATGTCTGAGCCACATGAGTCGAGGATTTTCAGAGCTTCTGCTGTGGTTGAAAGGTCAGGATCACCTGCTGTAATGTATGGAATTAGTGCCACCTGTACCAAGAAAACAAGAAAACAATGATAGAAATGAAAAAAAAAAGTGATGCATATAAATACATTATGACCTAAATATAGATTTCATTCTTGAAGTAGTTTTAATATTTCTTATATGTATATTGCTTTGGTTAGAAACACTAGAATTAAGAATGCACATTAAAAGGGGGAGGGGTAGACCTAAGAAAACTTGGAAGGAGACAATAAAAAATGATTTAAAATATTTAAATTTGAATGAGGATATGTGTTTTGATCGAGCACGATGGCGACATGCGATCCATATAGCCGATCCCGCTTAGTGGGATTTTAACGGCTTGTTGATTGATTGATATATTGTTTTGGTTGATTTTGGATGTGATTTACAGAATATAACTTCTTGTGACAATGGATTGAAACCAATATGTATCAACAAAGAGAAAATGTAAGGTGAAATTGCATATTATCCCTTAAAACTCATAAACCGAACATCAGTATTAGACATGCGGAGTTATAAAGCATCTATCCAGAATTAATGCCGCGATTTTTTTTATTTTTTTTTATTTGATATATATGCAAACTAGTCGTCTATAAGCTCTATTGAGCAATTCACATCCTTCTTCTCTCCATTGAGAGATACAGCATCTTGATTATTATTTATTTAAAACACAACGTGATAAGTCCATCACAGTCCCAATCCTCATGATACTCAGATTTTTATAACCCCCAATTTACAGCATAAACCTCTCAATCTACACATATTCTTCGTTTTAATCCACAAACTCAATCATTATGAACAAAAAAATCAAATTTTGAACATAAATAGGCCACGAACAACACAAGACCCAATATTGCAAGATCAATCCAAACATCAAACACCTATTACAACACCAACAAAACCCATTCATAAAAAAACGCGAATTACCAATAAATTACAAAATGGAATTGAATTCTCTTACTCTTCCCTGTTCTTTCAAGCTCGAGAAGGTCTCCGAGAGCCCACGGCTGGTAATAGGTGCAGCTGTGAGAGTAGCCGCCATGGCCGGCCGACGTTTAAGCGATCTGTGGTTTGAAGAGACGAGAGGCGAGCGTCGTCCAGGGATACTGTAATTGGTCTTCAGCTGGGGAGAGCAAATTGCCTTGAGAGCACCAGCAGCCATTTATTCTTCTTCAAGAGCTGAAAATGTTTTTACTCGCTGCTCTTTTGGTTTTCCCTTGATTTGTGTTCATAATTTTATCACGAGAGAAAAAAATTAAAAAGCGTTTGTTGACTTCCCCTTTCTAGTAATTAAACAGGTATTATATTGCCCTTAGGAGGCCTGAGAGGGCAGCCCACTTTTGCTAGGCCCGATTAGATAAGGCCCATAATCATAGGTCCAATCGGAAAAACAACCCAAGTAGGATGTGGTGGGCTTTACCGGCTTCTATATCCTGACCCGACCCGACACTCAGTAGCGCCCGCCCCTGAAAACCTTTCATTCATCTGCCATCTGAAACTTTGAAGCGGTGGTTCGTGCCGTTCATAACCTCAGTTCCACCGCCTTCCGCCGCCGACATTGACGGCCAATCAAAACTTACGCCGGCATGGATGAGGATCCGGCCCCAATCCCCGCCCAATTACCTCTGCCGGAATCATTTCTCGATTTCCTCAATAAGAACGGCTTGGATCCTTCGATCTACGCCACCTCTCGCTCTACGCCTCGCTATATTAGGTTGAAACCTGGCTGCGAGCTTAGTAAAATCGAGTCCGAGTTTAACTGCGAGCTCAAACTAGTCCACTGGCTGCGCGACTTCTACTATCTCCCCCCTGATGTACGGATCGCTGGCACGAAGGCGTATCGTGAAGGGAAGATATACGGCGTAGACGCGGCCTCAGGGGCGGCTGTTTTAGCTTTGGGTGTTTCTCCGGGCGATCACGTCCTCGACCTGTGCGCGGCTCCTGGTTCGTGCTCTTGTACCCTTTCAGTTCAAATTCAATGTTCATTTATGTGTGCAAGACACCTTGAAAATGCCTTCTGTTAGTTAATTGGGTCCTAATATTTCCTTAAGTCTATTCTGTCCAAACACGGAGCTCATTGCTGAGGATACAGATCAAATGATGCATATTAAATTTCGCTACTCAAAACCATTGAGCTCACTGATAGGAAGAAAAGTAGCAAAACACCTCACATTGACCAGCACCAATTTGTCTTTTGCAGGTGCTAAGCTCTGTATGATTCTGGACCTTCTTGGATCGTCTTCAGGTTCGGTGACAGCTGTTGATATTTCTCAGCACCGGTTGGCCGCCACCCGAACCATGGTGCGTAAATACGGCCTCGGAGACCTTTGCCGCCTGTTTGTTGCCGACGGGACCACATTTTCCCTCACTCAATCGAGGGCTTCTCGGCCGAACCTTGAAAACTCCAAGACCTACGGCCAGTGGACCCCACGCAGACCGTATAAAGAACGAAAGAGTGCAGCCAAAGCTAGGCAGAAACAAATCTCCGGCAGCCCGGAGCTCATATTCTACGGACCTCAATCTGGTGTGGTCGGTTCTACCAAAGACTTGGTGTACCGTAGCTACAGTGACCTGGAGATCTCGTTGGAGTTGGGCTATGATAAAGTTCTTGTGGATGCAGAGTGTACTCATGATGGCTCGATTAAGCACATTCAGAAATTCGAGCAGTGGGGCTGGGCCACACTCTCGGCCCGCGTGCTGAATGCCGAGAGGACGGATGAAGATGTGACTGTTTTGCAGCTGAAGTTGCTGGTGAATGGATTCAGGCTTTTGAAGGTTGGGGGATCTCTTGTTTACAGCACGTGCAGCTTGACAGATGCTCAGAATGAAGGTGTGGTGGAGAAGTTTCTTTCGGAGAATTTGTCGGCTGAGTTGGTGAAGATTGAAGCTGCCGAGAGCTGGCCTTGTAGCACTGGAAGGATACACAAGACTCTAAGATTTGATCCGCTCACATCGGGGACGAGTGGGCTTTTTGTTGCCAAGTTCACAAAGCTGGCTACTTGATTCTTTTTTTATGCGGTGGTGTACTGGTAAGTGATTCGCCCAGGGGAATTATTTTTCGTATTCTCTTTAACTTTTCGTATTTCCTATATTATCTGATGGCGTGGAAGTTTAGCGTTTTGTGTTGTCTGCTGGAAATTTTGATTGAGAAATGGGAGAAGGGATTTTTAGTTGTACTTGAACATCAGTGAAATTAGCTAGCTGGTCATGGAATTGAATATGATAAAGTAAAATGGTATGTTGATTTGATATAGTTGCATATGTTCAAGTGGATATGCAATTGTAGCTTTAAACCTGTATTTGTTGAGTTTGGGACTGAAGTTGTTCCAACTTCCAAGTAGAGTTGTTATAAAATAAAAAATAATGAAAAAAGGAGTTAGTTTTTCATCAAATCAAGGCAACTGCATTCGAAACTCCCCTCGCTTTAGTGGTTGAGTCTTATACTGGGACGTGTTTATCTCTGCTGCTGAGTTAAAAGGTTGAAAAAAGTTGCTTCGAGTTCATGTATTGTAATGTCAGGTAAAATCCATCATCGTAAAATCACAACTTGATGAACTCGACTACAAGATGGAATCATTTTGTGAACAAAACTCGAGCACGCATCAACATTTCATATCGGTGGATAGTCTTGGGGCCTTTTAGTTGCTACTCATGCTTGTCGAGACAATTTGCCGATGTTTTCCTTCCGTAACAGGTTCTCACTGTTTGTGTTTTTTTCACACCTTTGAGCTACTACACTTCGATATCATTTTTATCTGTATACTTTTATGTCAAAGTATTGTAGTATTTATTAGGTAGTGGTTATCTATTGATCTAAAGATTGGCCGTGCAGTTGTTGAATTCTCGTTTATTAGGTGCTACGATGATCGCATCATCAATTCATGGGATTGTGATGGGATCACACCATACTCAATGAACAATTGGAATCAGACCCTGACAAATCATAGTTGTAAATACCTTGTGGGAGCAAATAATTCAATATGCTGTGATTTTTATTTTTTTATTTAATTTAGAAATGATTGGGTCGGTTATACCATCCATTATCAACCTCAACACAGCTCTAGATCTTGAGCAATTTGGCTGGCGTGAGCTGGAGGTTTTCATACAATTAATTGTAACTTGACCAGACCAAAATCCAGATGTACTATTTTCTCAGAACAATTTGGGAAAAATCTGGATTGATTTGCTTGCCCAGTTTTGTACCATTAACAAGAAAATCAAGAGAAAGAAAGTAGTGAACTGGATGATGTTCTAAAAATCTTCAAGTGTATGCCCTTATCTATTTAGATATGGCTTTTACCTTCACAAAATAACGTATATACTAACTAATTACCAGCATCACATGTTTACTTGGGAAAAACACTGCATTTTCCCATGAGAGATGCAGAAAATGGAGAAAAGGAACACAAAGGTGGAAGAAAGTACAAAAGATTTGCTTATCATTTGTACAAAAACGATGTTCACAAACACACACTTGTTACTTCAAAATCTCTCTGTTTGTCTGCCTGAATTCTGTCTGATTTTTCTTGGGAATAAAAGAAAAAGAAAAAAAAAAAAGACATGGTGTGAGCATATATCTACAGGCGACCTAATCCTTTAGCTTCAGACCCTTTCATAATCCTCAGCCTCTTGCAAGAACTAATGAACATATCCCATGGCACATCTCCAACTAGCATCCAGTCTCCATCTTTATCTTCATAAGTTGGTACAAATTCAGATCCATTATACCCTTCTCTCTCTGAGTAAACCCCTGAAATTTTTTTATCACAAATTGTAAAAAAACAAGAATTTATCAAGGAATTTTTGCTGAAGCTAGACTGAATTCAAAGAGAAAAGAGAAGATTTATTTGGAATTTACCTATGGTACACTTGAACATGCTCTCTAAGGCCTTGAGAAGATCAAAGTAGTTTTTGTAGAACTTGAGATCAATCTTTCTTAGGTATGGAGCTCCATCCATGCTCACCTTCACAAACATACCAGATCCATCGGATCCGGGTTCAGGTTTTTTCAGCACATTCTTTCTGTAAGATCTAACTGGTGGCCACCCAACCACTTGTGCCCTGAAAAAATCATGAAANAATCAACCCAAAAGCTTACTCTAGGATCGAATGTTGCCCGCTTTAGATTTGTAATTACTTAGCAACAATTGTATAGTTGAATATCATTTTTGTGGTTTTAGGCTGAAAAGGCAATTGTTCTAAATGACTAATATCATCTTGTAACTTACTTTGGAGCTGGAGCAGCAGATTCCTTCTTTATATCTTCTTTCCTCGGACTATGATCCATCTCTGAAGAAGGCCTCTTGTTAATATTCTTCAGACAAGAAGAAGACTGTTCCTCAGATTCATCTTCTCTTCCAGGCAGCCCTAATCTCAGCTCAGTTGCTTTCAGATTCAAATCGGTTTCGAAAATCGCTGCTGATTTTTCCATTTTCTGGAGATTTTCTCCTTCTCTCTTCTGATCTAATCTCTGCTCTTATGAAAAACGACTGTAACCCTTCTCTCTTTTCTCCTCAAGATCCCAATTGAATTATTGCGTATTTGCTGAGCAACTTGTTGAATGAAAGTCTGTGTCAAATTGGGCACAAGTTTTATAGGATGCTTTTTTTAAGTGGTGAAAGAGACGGTGAATCTGGGCCTTATTCTCGGTGTGCATGATTTTCACGACAACTAAGAGGTCATGGTCGCCACGCGCTTGCTGTACTAATATGCTCCATACAATATAGATATAAATTAAGTTTGTATCATTTAGACCATCCTATGAAAATGAAAAATTAGTGTTATATTAGTATTGAATAATTCATGTCTGAGTTCGTGCTCGTTAAATCGAACTATCACTTATAGCATATAACATTGAAGTTAGTGTTAATTTAAGTCTAACCGAGTAATTCATGTTCAAGTTCGTTAAGTAGTTATTATTTATACCGTATGAAAATGAAACTAGTGCCATTTGAGCTGAGTAGAGTAGTTCATGTTTGAGCACGTGTTCGGTAAATCGACCTCTCGTTTATACCGTGTGAAAATAAAATTAGTGTTATTTAAGTTGAACCAAGCATCTCATGTTCGATTAATTTATCAAGTTCAAATAGTGAAAGCTCACAAAAAATCGAATCAAGTTATGAATACGAACACAAACAATTAATTACTTTATAAATAAATTTAATTAGTTGTTCGAGCTCGATCGTGAGCTTTCAGAACACACACCGAGCTATGCTTACAAACAAAACCATTGATTAATGTTTCAAAGTGGAATGAATGCCAAGAGCATGTGCGCGTGGGGCAGACGTATTTATGAGAGCGTGTGGTTTTATGGGTCAGAGGTGGGGACATGAATTAGTAGGTGCGGATTGGATGTCGGCTAAAAGGGCAGCAACTTTAGGTCTAATCCGGAGAAAAGAGGGGACAGACGTGGGACAAACGGCAACTCTTTGATAAAAGCACTGGTCCTGCAACCGACGGCTGAGATTATTTCTTCACGGTGGATGTAACAAGTCCCGTAGGATCGTGTAGGCTTGTTTTTTTAACTATTCTTGTGGAATATATGAATGGACAATTGTATTTTTCTGTTTGGTCATTCGGCATGTTTTTGGGCTCATTCAATTAAGAGTTCCCATCCACAATTAATTTGATAATATAGGCTATTTAAATAAAAAAACAAAAAGAGATGTAAGATAAAAAAAAATGAGATTTTTACATATTAAACAACTAATCAAATCAATCAATTAATTAAAAATACTTATTCAACCCAACTGTAATTGAATTAATTATCAGTCATCCACTAATTCCCAGCCATTATCTTCAAATAAATCAAATCAAATCAAATGCTAGGACTTATGACTCACTGGAGAACCATTATCATTATTATAAGTAAGTCTATTCTTTTAACTTATTTTGACCAAACAGCAAAAATATTTATGCTAGCAGGTTTAGTCAGAAAATGTATATTAAAACTTGGCATTATTTTTCATAATAACAAGAGAATCAACTTGATTGCTACTGCTTATAAATCAGATAAAATAATTGATCTTGCTCTATGATGAAATAACGTAAGGATTAAATCTCATAAAATATGAAGAGTAGGCTGCAGGCCCATGTGAGGTTGGCCCAGGCCGTGTCTGTTGCTGCGTTTAACAAATAACAATGGCATGTGAATTTCAATAATGGAATTTTGGGTTGGCTTTATTTGGTATGTGTATCCACATTAGGCATGTGAGTTGGCATGGAGATATAAGGATTCAAATAGATGCCATTGATACCAGGAATATGGATAATAATTTTGCTATGAAGTCAACAGTTGGTTCTATAATAAAGCAAATATTCTATATACAACAAATAAATCATACCATATTCTCTGATTACTTAATTAAATACTTATGATTTTATTAATATGATATGGTTTACTTGTTGTATATATAGAAGGTTGGCTCCACTATGGAGCCAATTGTTGACTTCATAACAAGACTGCTATAGACAAATACTTGTTAAACGAATCTGAGTCTGTTCGTGGGCTAGGATCAGCTCGGCTCAAACGAGCCGAACTCAAGATCGTTTAGGGTGTGATTGTTTATATTTTCTACAGTAAATATCCCACTCAAAACTCAAAATTAACTCAACTCCACTATCTCCAATATTATCAATATAATTAAATAATATCAAAAAATAATTATTACACATCACATCAACTTTAATTCACTATTCACACACTCATATAATTTTAACTAACCATCACTTCCAATCATTTTCTCCTACTTTTATATCAAATCAACTTTAATTATTTTAATTTAAATATTATTTTAATATATCCACTAACAACTAACCATACTACTTTTTTTCAAACTTAACTATAGTTAAAAAAAACTAATTTTTTACTAGTTGAATTCATATCCAATCACCCCCTTAACAACTCTATAGTTAGCAAAATCGAGATCGGTTCATTCGATTCGTTAAGATTCGTGAGATTAAAAAATCAGGGATTTTATGTAATTTAATGAACATAGCATAGTTAACAGATTGAGCTCGATTGAGATTGATAATGGTTCGTGGCCGATGCTCGATAATCAAAAGCTCAAGTTCAATCAGAATCGTTTATAACTCTAGCAATATATGAAAAATGGAAATGGGGATTCAAATTGGATGTCATGTACATGTAATAGGAGTGTGGCCATACATAAAATATTAATGTAGACTGTAAGTATATATACAAATTGAATGTGCTGGATAAAATTTAATCATCATATTAATTAAATTGGATGTCATGTACATGTAATAGGAGTGTGGCCATACATAAAATATTAATGTATGACTGTAAGTATATATACAAATTGAATGTGCTGGATAAAATTTAATCATCTTATTAATTATAAAATCTGGACAAAAAATAATATGAATTATTAAACTGATCCTATTGGTTGGTTTCAATGAAATCAGGCAAATTTCAAGGCAGTGTACGAGCCCATGCTAACAGCTATAGCATTGTTATGCAACAAACCTAATACCTACTAAAGGGGCCCAATATATTAATAGCAGAAGCCCATTGTGATTGGCCCATTTGCACTATCATTCTCCGTAAAACCCTAGAGCTGTAGAACCCCAATACTTCGACATTCATTCCGGCGAATTATCCACCGCTACACCCTAGCTTCTCCGGTACCGATCGGTAATCTCTTGACCTTTTCATTGTTTCTCGTGCTATTTTTAGAAACATATTTTGTTGGGAAATTTTCTGTTGTTTTAATTCGTGAAAAAAAATCAGTTTCCCTTTCCAACTCAGTCATTTGCCTGCTTTAATGAAGGTGCGCGCAAAAATTTCTGATATTTTGGTTGTTTTAATCTTTTGGAGTTAACTCAATCTAGAAAACTCGTATATCAGCTGGTGACTTAGCGAATATGAGCTTGATTTCTCAAAACGCCGTGTCTAAGGAGCCTTTCAAGAAGAAGAAGAAGGTTGCAAAGAAAAACGAGCTCGCACTAATCGGGGAAGACCAGGAGGAGGTCGAAGCTGAAGCTGAAAATGAAAATGAGTTAGATGCAAAAACAACACGAAATAGGAAACGAGGGCGGACAGAAGAAGACAAGCAAATCGAAATTGAGCAGGAAGAGGAAGTAAAAAGGCTGGAGAACATTTTATTTGGCTCCTTATACAATAAGGTTGAATTTGGAAAGGATGCTGAAGAAGACGAAGAAGAAGAAGAAGAAAGAGGAGGTGAAGCTGAAGGGGAGTTGGAAGACACTGCATTGTTTTTCACTGACAAGTCAGCGAATAGTATGCTGTCCGTGTACGAGGAAGACATGGTGGCACGGAAAGCAAGTGACGAGGGTCACAGAAAGGATAAACGAAAACCCGCGTGGATAGATGATGAGGAGGAGAAAGCTAGCATTAACATAGCAAAAGTCAACAGATTGCGCAAGCTCAGGAAAGAAGAGGGCGAAAGTGCGATTTCTGGTTCAGCATATGTTTCAAGGCTAAGGGCTCTTCATATGAAGATGAACCCAGGGACCGATTGGGCCCGGCCCAAATCCCAGAAGAAGGATTATGGTTCGGAAGATGAAGATTCAGAGAAAGAAAGCGGGGGAGTAGTGTTGGCCAGTGGTTATGGGGATCTTGAAGAAGACACTGATAATATCCTCAGAACAAACGAGCAACTTGTCGTGAAGAGGGGCACAAAATTGCTACCCGGACATCTCGAGTATTCAAGGCTGGTCGATGCAAACGTGAAGAACCGTTCAAAAGGGCCCATCAATTCTGTTCAATTTCACAAGAATGCACAGCTTCTCCTTGTGGGTGGATTGGACAGAACATTGAGATTCTTCCAAGTTGATGGAAAGAAAAACGAAGTGGTACAGAGCATTTTTCTCGAGGATTGTCCGATTAGAAAGGCGGCTTTTTTGCCTGATGGGTCGCAAGCGATTGTTTCGGGAAGGAGGAATTTTGCTTACTGCTTCGATTTAGTCAATGCCCGTGTGGATAAATTTGGGCCTCTTGCAGGTAGGGAAGAGAAGAGCCTCGAAACATTCGAGGTTAGCCCTGATTCTAGCACTATTGCTTTTCTTGGCAATGAAGGGTACATTCTGTTAGTTTCATCGAAAACAAAGGAATTAATCGGAACTTTGAAAATGAACGGTTCGGTTAGGTCTGTGGCATTCTCAAACGATGGACAAAAATTGCTTAGTTCAGGTGGGGATGGGAAGATTTACCATTGGGACATGAGGACAAGGACTTGTTTCCACATAGGTGTCGATGAAGGTTGTCTTACTGGCACATCTCTTTGTACTTCTCCTGTTGGGAATTTGTTTGCAGCTGGTTCGGATAGTGGGATTGTGAATATTTACAATGAGGATGAGTTTTTGGGCGGGAAGAGAAAACCACTGAAGGCGATTGAAAATCTTACGACAAGAGTCGATTTTACTAAATTTAACTGTGATGCCCAGATTTTGGCAATCGGTTCGCGAATGAAGAAGAATAGCATGAAGATGATCCATGTCCCATCATACACTGTATTTTCAAACTGGCCTAGGGGGAATCAGTATTTGGGCTACCCGAGATGTGTGGATTTTAGCCCGCGTGGAGGATTTATGGCCATGGGAAATGCGGCTGGGAAAGTGTTGCTGTTCAAGCTCCATCACTATCATCAGGCCTAGTAAGTTAATCTTGTTGTGTTTGGTCTTATGCAGTAATGCAAGTGTTTTGCATACTTCTCTGTTGTTTTGGACAATTTTGTTAGGAAAGAGTAATTTTGGTTTTTGATGGATGTATTGTTGTTTTTTCAATTATTATAATCGCTAGTTGATCAGCATTATTCAAGTGTGGTATGTACCGTTGATCTGAGGATAATGTTAGAGTTTCAATTTGTGAGTTACTTGAGGTTCAACAGATATACCTGCTTATGCGGCCTTTCATCATTTAGTCTGTTGCATTTTTTTCTGCCGAACAGTTGGATCGACTTTTTTTTATTCGTTTAAAAAATATTCTTTGCAGGCTTTAGCCTTTGGATTCTGAAACTGGATCGAACATTAGGGCTTTGTAAGATTTTGGTCGGTGACTTAAATCGAACTCCAACTCATTGATCAATACCTTTATCAACTATCCGTAAAATGTGCTACGAGAACTTGACAGCCATAAGCCATACTTGTAGGAATTTATATGGCTGTTTATTCTTTTGGTGGGCATAAATTAAATTTGCTTAGAGCGTTCATATGAGAAAAAGAGAAACAAAATTTACTTGTTCTGCAATGGAGATGAGCCTTTTATCCGACTGTTTACACTAAATTGCAGCACAGTGTTTTTCTGTTTCTTCTTATTCATAGTCGATGAGTAAGGCTTGAGAAATAAGAGTTTTCACATAATTATATTAACTATTAATTTTGCTCTGACTTGTTGATTTAGATAAATGAGTTGAGCTCAAATTTTTTTATCGACTCGAATAGTTAACGAGTTGGCTCAACAAAGGTTCAAGTTGAGTGTTTAGGAGTTCAAGAATGGTTCGGTTCGTTTACATCTGGCAATTTGAGCACGACAATATGAGAGAGAATGAGGTATCAGATTCCTTTACTTCTGGCAATTTGAGCATGGCAGAACGAGAGCTAAGAGGCATGAAAATGGCAATTTGAGCACGGCCACACGAGAGCAAAGAGGCCTGAAAAAATCCAACCTAATGAGCTTGTAGGCCAATATGACCATTGACCACAATCTAATATGCAATAAACATGGAGAATCTCTGTAACTTCTAATTCTAAGGCTGCGTTTGGTTATTCAATATATATATATATATATATATATATATGTATTATATTATTTGAAATTTAACTTAAATCTAACCCCATTCAACTTAAATCTAAAGTGCAATAATTTTAAAATTCAAAATTCAAACTTAAATTTACTCCAATTCAACTATTTTCAATAATCAATATAATTAAATAATATCAGTAATCCTCACATATCACATCAATTTTAATTAATTATTAATTCACTCACGCAATTTTAACCACTTTTTAATTCACTATTTATTCACTCACGCAGTTTTAACCACTTATCATTTCAATAGCGTTTTTCACATTTTTAATCATTATATTTAAAATATTATTTATCTATTTATTTATTCGACTCACTGTGATGTCCTTTGCATTCAAGAAGGTCTAAGTATTCATATTTATTTATTAACTTATTTTTTTATTTATCATATAAATGATGTTTAAAACTAAAAATAAATTCATTATTTTATTCTGTAAGCAAAAATCAATATATTTTTTCATCGTTAAAATTAGTCTCATATTTCTATCATTACATTTTTATTTCAATATGTTTTTGCCATGTTTTGTATCATAATATATTTTCCATTTTTTTTTGTATACTTCTGTTATATAATTTTTTTTATTCTAGTAATATATTTGTTTAATAACCATTATTATTTATTTTTAAACTCTATATATTAAGTATACAAATTGAAAATATTTATAAAATATTTTAAAAATAATCGTACAATCTATCTATAAAAACTAGAGTTATAGAAAAAGATGGTATAAAAATTCAAACAATAAGTTAAATATTCAAACAATAGGTAAATCAATTCATGTTATAGAAATAGATGGTAAAAATTTCAAAGAATAGGTTAAATCATTTCCACCAACTGTGAAAAAGAGTTCTACATGTTTTCAAATTATTTTGAAATAATTTATTTCTGGCCAGAGAAATACATCCTACAAAATATTGATATCAAATTGACATGATCTTTGTAAAATATTATTTATTTTGATTGTTCTTGAACATAAACATGCTCTTTTTAAAATATTTTTAAACTTGTAAATGTTCTTGAACATCATCTAAATAAGCTATAACGGTTATCTTTTCTTCTTACATTTAACTATTAAAATAATGTAGAAATATGTATTATTTACTTTATATTTTTTATATTTGTTTTAATGAGTTGTAACTTGTAACTAGGTATTTTTTTCTGGGATGAATATTTGCAATTTTTGACTTTATTGTGATCCATTTTTTAAAATATTTTTTATATATACAATTATCAATTCATAATTAATTCTATTATATATTTTTTAAATTGAATACAAAGTAATAGTTAAGTATTAAATACATAGCATTAAAAAATTAAAAAAAAATGATTTATAAGAGAATATCTTAAAAATAATATTTTAAATTAGAAAATGAATTAAGCAAGGAACTATTTTTTAATCTTATTTCTTAATCTTTCTTATCCATGTTAGAATTGATTCTTTCAATTTTATCGTGCTTTATAAGATTAAGTCAATAACCCGTTTACCCATTTAGTTTATAAACTTATGAATTGTCCTTTTATAAGATTAGCTCTGTAGAATTTGAATGATGAGTAATCCCTAGAGTTTGAGCTCAAATCAATTTGTATTTATAATTTTCCTATTTATAATTCTCTTTTATTGTTTGGAGACATACAAGATATTACAAGTTATGATTCTCATGTGAAAGTTGTCCGTATTTATTTTTGTTCCATGCAAGATAGCAAATTGATTACAAGAATTCTATTGCTGAGTCTTGAAAGTCCCGTCAATATTGGCCCGCAAAATTATACTATTCATTGAAAAAAGTACCCCGTCTAATCGTTAGACTGCATTATTTCACTCCAACACACTCTGGTTGTACTTCTCATGATAAACAAAAAGTTTATGGCCACCAAAATATCAAGACTGATGGGTGTTTTCAGCTTCAAATAATCAATTCTTGAGGTGGCTTAATTCAGCTTTCCCAGAATCACTGTAATTTACTACATTCAGGATACAGCCCAAAAAAATAAAAAAATAAAAAAATAAAAAATGAGAGGTGATAGATATGACTCATATGAGCTGATGACATTGAAGGAACATGGGACTTTTGCTATGGAAACTGAGATGTCTTTTAAGAAGAAAGGTGTGGCTTCAAGAAACTGGATAGCTTTGGACAACAATGGGCAAGGCATAATCCTGGATTTGGACAAGTATGATATCATGAAAAGAGTCGAAATAAATGCAAGAGACCTTCGAATTATCGACCCTTTGCTCTCATACCCTTCTGCAATTCTTGGCAGAGGCAACGCAATTGTCCTCAATTTGGAGGTAAATAAAACAAATTTCTATATGGGCTTTTGTTGAACAAATTTCAAGATTTTTCCTCTGTTTTAATATACTTTTTTTGCTTCCCAATGATTATGTGTAATTTTGCAGCATATCAAGGCTATAATAACAACAGATGAGGTTAGTCTCAGCCCTCTTTCTCAACAAGCATTTGGAATTTTTATACATAGCTGATATTTTTTTTTATTTATTTTTTAAATGCTAAGAAATTAAGGATTAAATGAGTGGGTTT